AAAAAACTACAAAATGAACGAATGATCACTACATCGTTTTCGGTTTTGGTCAATCTCTTGGCCTCGATAAAACGAGGAAATCCTTTTGCTAAATATGGCTAAAGAATTCATTGAATTTGGATAAAAATTGGACCTGGATGCCCAATTTGTTTTTTAACATTCATCATTATTGTTGATAGGTTTGATTTATTTCAACAAAAATTCTGACTACCACTCATGGAATTTCCAAATTTGAGTTTATATTTTCCTTCTTTTATCAATTAATCATTGAATTCTAAGATTTAGCTAAAAACTCTCTACAAAATGTCCAATCCTATGTTGTAAAAGTAATCTACTGCTCTAGCTTGAGTCTACAAGCCATGCTCCTATGATTCGAGCCCCCCCTCCTCTCTTTCTCTTTCTCTGTCTCTGTCTCTGTCTCTGTCTCTCTCATTTGACCCGAAAGTGCGTTCTGAAAATCATTATGAGCAAAGAACCAGTTCTCTGAATTGATTGGTGCATATTTTGCGTTTGTTAATTTTTGAACCATTAGTGGAGACATTGAGTTTAAATTTATCTTCCATTATCCCATAGCTAATATTGTGTCTTCTATTATTCCATTGTGGAGTTTTGTCGGGTAATAATGAAGAGCAAAGCATGGCATGGTTTTCTAACATCTGAATTATAAAGATTAGAATGTAGCATAGCTTGGTTCCTTAATTTTAAGTGTTAGAGGCCAAATGTCTTTAGATCATAGCGCGTGAGGCCAAACACGCTTGAGAGAATCTGGTTCATTCGTTCTCTCATTTGGTCTTTTTAGAGTGATGCATATTTTTTCTTGATTGTGTTTTGTGGCATCTATTATTGTTTAATATAGCTTCAAAAAACAGATCATAACATTCCCTTGGGTCTTAAAAAACTAAATAATTGTTTGTTTGAGCTAATATGTTGAGAGGGGGCATTGCCATCGACATGTGGAAGGAGCAGTGTACTCTTCAAGGTAATTTGGGATGTATCAGGTCTTGGTGGCATGAGCTACTTCTTTTATTTTCTTGAGTGATTTTAGTTAGACTTATAGTTCGTCTAGTATGACTTTCTTGTCTATTTGCTGGACCTGCTTTCTTGATGTACCAAGACGTGAATGTCTTTCCCGTATTTTTGAAGTTGTCCTTGTACCTATCTTTTGTCATATCAACGAGCCTTTTTAGAATGTTCAACTTGTTAACTATCATAAGTGAATGATGTGGTAACGATCTTGTACACTTTTTTTGTTTGATTGGATCTGTGAGCAACAACTATACTTCCTTTGGCATTCATGATGTTATTTTTTGTAGCTGGACAATGAATTACGCCTTAGAGTATATATTGTGTTCATGTTATGAGGAGAAATTGAGATGTGTTTAGTTTTTACTGTTTATTTTGTAACATAAAAGACAAGAGTATGGGCTTTCATTACACAAATCCTGGAAGAACAAGAATTGCTCCCTTGTTCTTTGTTCTCACTTTCCCTTCTGAGTCCATCTCACCATCTGAGCCCATCCAAAATCAAGTGAGGAAACTGAATATTGCTACCAAATTTGTTCCATATTGACAATTATCGTGTTAATGGCTACTGAAAACAAAGTATGATAATTGCTTGGGTCATCAGCCATGTTAATATTGTTGGTTTTGAACCCTAGTTTATATCAAAATTCAGTGTTGTGCATCAGGTCTGTAAACCAATTGGAAAGGAATAGGCACCATTTAATCTACACCATTCAATTTCTCTCTCTCTCTCTCTCACACACACACACACACACACACACACACACATACCCGCATGAAAACTCTACAAAATGGCCATGAATGAAATTCTACAGTAATTTCACTCATGCGCCTAAAGGCTATCAACCATCTGATAAAAGATTGGATGGTTGAGAGCATGTAATAGTATTTTAATTTTAATATTTTTATACAAATCAGATCAACATGAAATTTGAAGCATGTGTACATCACATCAACCCTCACCCAATAATAATTTATTGATTTTTTGCATATTTCAAAATGATCCCATGTTACAAGGGCAGTTTAGCCATTTTTAATTATATAAAATATTTGTTTGTTTTATTTGTGCGCGAGATAGAGATGCATCATCATCATCATCAAAGCCTTATCACTATATGTGCTAGTCAAATCCTATTCTATTGGAGTAGCTTTTTTTACCCTTGTTTGTTCAAAATGGCAGGGGAACCCTTGACTATTTATCACCGCAACTAGGCGTCGTTGCGGCATGTCGCTTTGAGGGAATTCCCCTAGCCAATTGTTGCTTATTTCTTATCGCACCCGGATGCCAGGACATTACTTCGCTTAGAGGGGACAACCTAGCTTGAGCATATAACATAGGATCATGATTCATGAAATAGATGCGGCAAAAGTTTTATGCTGGCTGCCAATCTAGTACAACCCTCCTCCTTTCTCCAGGCTTGGGATTGACATGATCGGCTGGAGACCAGCCATGGTGGAGTTGCAAGGTAGGGTGCATCTACCCTTCAAATTTCAAATCGAACAAAATTGTAGGAAAAAAGTAAAATTTGTACACCAAAATATACTTTCAACTGTCCGATCAAAATTGGAGGGTGGATAGCCTTTAGGTCCATAAGAAAGATTACTGTAGCATTCACTGATGGATGTTTTATAGGGTTTTCCACACAGACACACACACATGTTCACTAGATCCTTAAATTTCCCAACGGCCATGTCATTGAAAAAGTATTAAAAGGAACATGGTCAAAAGTAACGGCAAATATTTCTTTTTATTTTTCGTTTTGATGAACAGCAAAACTTCATTTGTTAGTCTTATGAACACATTTGCTCTGGTGTTTACAACATGCAAAATGCAGCCAAACAGCCACAAACTGCATTCTCTCCTCAAACCATGAGCTGTTAGAAGGGACCCAAACGACCTCATATCCCAAATTCATCAACAAATTTTAATTTATGTTTTAAAAGGAATGCTGATGCATTTTCCTTTGCAGCCAAACAAGAGCTAAGTTGTGGTGCTTCCTTCATACATTGGGATTTGAATTAGAATCCAAAAGTATTTGTGCTTTCAATATGCCTGTTTTCTATTTTACTTCTTATCAGTTGTATATTTCCATGCATCTTGAAATTGATAAGCTGTTAGGCATTACTTTTTGGTTATCTTTGTGTAATTCATCAAATGTTGGAACCCTTATTGTTGCAAGGGTTCTCTTTTTTAAAAACGTATTTGCAAGGGTTCTCTTATTTGTTGTTTTGCTTATTAAGTCATTTTTCTGTTGTCATGACTCTCTTTCTTCTTCTTGGTTTTTATTTCCTATTTCTCTTTTTCATTTTGGAGTCTGCCCTAATTGCTGTAACTTTAGTTTTTCTAGAAATGGGCACAAGGTTAGGTGGTCAGGGTGGTGGGTCGCCACAACGTGATGTCTTGAGTTCCATTCCTACCGGGTAGGGGACTCCATCCCCATTGAACTACTACCCCCCCACCCCACCCCACACAAAAAAGAAAAGAAAAAGGAAGAAGCCACCAGTTTATATATAAAAACCAAAGCCCAAGAAGTGACAATCTACTGATTCACTTTAGTAATTCCATTCTCTCTTAATCCCAACATGATGCCCAACGCCATTGTTTTGAAACTGACTGACCTTTACTGGGAAATGGGATTGAGCTTTATCCAATGATCATATCTTTGACTGAAGCCGGAACACCTACTTAGGCCATAGGAAGCAACCATATGGGCCCAGTTGGAGGATAGAATCCCGCAAATGTACCCATAGGTGGTCCGCAGGCTCAACTGCTCTCTTATTGTCATACTCATGTTCAAGAATGGTGCATAGAGTTATAGTCAATGTGGCATGCAGAAAGATAAATCTAGTTTTGCAGCATTTTTGGAATAGTTTAAAAATTAAGTAATGACCGGCAAGTTTCGATTGATGCAAAAATCATATGGCATGTGCAGTGTTCTAAAATGTGGTTGCATCGTCGCATATGTGGCCGTATCGCCGCATCATGCGGTATGCGGTGGACTCCGCATCAGAACTGGCCGCATATGCTCTTTTGACCTATGCGGCCGCATATGCGTCGCATCATAGTCGCATCCCGCATCGCATCGCATCCCATCCCACTGCATCCCGCATCACACCGCATCCCCTTCCACCGAAATTTTTTTCTATTTTGCCCCTCGGTGAGGGGCAAAATGGTCTTTTTGACCATCAAAAAATGAGGGAAATTGTTTAGGGGGGTATTAAACCCCCCCCCCCTAAATGATGATTTCCAGCCACTTTTGTGGCTTTTTTTGCATCAAATGGAGGGAAAAAAAATTGGCAGAAATTTATTTTTCATTCAAATCTTTGATTTGGTGGTTGTTTGATACTTGGATATTGATTTGATGCTTTTGATTGTTAATTTGGGGATGTTAGGGTGAATTTGTGATAAGAAATTGGGTGGCAAAATTTGACTTCAAATTTCAAAATTGACTCTTAAAATGGATGATTGTATTAAGTTATTAACTATTAACTCTTCTTGAGCTTGACTTTTGGTTTGTAATATCACTATTTTGTGCTTATGGTTTATGGTTGTGCTTATGGTTGTTGATGGTTGTGCTTTTGTGCTTATGGTGCAAATTTGTGCTTATGGTTGTTGATTGTTGAATGTTTTATGAAGCTAGTTTCAAGTTTCTAGTTTCTTTTAGGAGATAGTGGATAACTGGATACAAAATCTCCGACAACTAATAATTTTGAAGTTAATCATTAAACTAAAATACCTACTCGCACATAAATCACCTCCATATTTTTTTTCTATGCATTAACCTAATTTTTTTAGTTTTTTTAGAATTTTTTTTACATTTATTGACCGCATCGTCGCGATGCATCCGCATCCGGGCCGCATCCCCCCCCCCCCAACCGCTTTTGGCCACATCGTACATTTTAAAACACTGGGCATGTGTTTGAGAAGCTATCCTGCTTTAATTGTAGTTTGGATATTGGTGTGTTGTATTAGTTTCATTAGATTTCAAAGCTGATGGTTTCAAAAGTTTTAAAGGCTTACACCGTTTTGTGCAGGTGATGTACTGATATGCTCAATTCTATGATTTGAGTGCATGGGTTGTTGCCTATTGATGGTCCCCTTTTTTGTCCAAATTTTGAAGACACAAATATTGTTATGGATGGACAGTAGGTATTAAGGAAATGCCACCCAAGGTTCTTCAGGGCTTTTCCTTTACAAGAAGGGGAGTATCGCTTGGCCATGATGACCAGTCCCCTGGTGGTTCTAGTGGTGAACTTGGTCCTTTCTTGAAGCTAAGTATTGAAAAAGAAATATATAGGCCTGGTGATCTGATAATTGCAACCATCGAAATTCAAAACCCAGACATTGCAGCTGAGAACATAATAGAACAACATGTAGCTAATCATGCTCATCCAATTTTGGTTGAAAATCTTGCGATCGAGATCAAAGGAATTGAGAAGTTGGATAGCCAATGGTTTACTACCCAGAAACCACTACCAGGGTCGAAGCAAAGGCGAGGTTCGTTCTTTCTTGATTTTGAATTGTACAATCAAATTGTTCCTATTGCAAACACATTGTCAAACTTCTTTTTGGTACCAACAGCAAGCTGTGCTGTCGAGTTTTTGCACCTTGTAGTGCTATCAAGGCTTTTTGTTTTAGGAAATTGGTATCCCAGTATTTTTTTTCCTTCTTTAATATGCTCTTTGATTGTATGCTTAACAATCCCACAAATTGATATGGAAATTTTGTGGCTGTCATTAAAGGTGATTGTCTCATCAACTGATTCTTTCTTTGAGAGTTGGGACTACCTATACAATGTCTCTGTTCCAAAACAGAATTCCAACTGAGTTATCATGCAAGTATTTGCAAGTGTTAATTTAAGGTTATCAACTTTCTGTGCACCTTAACATGAACTTGATGCAGGAGGCATAATTTGAGGCGAAACTTAAATTGGATTTGGAGTAACATGATTTCATTGAATAACAATGTACTTTGTTATGTTCTTTGTCCTCTCTTCTTTTTTAAGTTGAAGTGGTCTATTATTGATGATATCATTACCTAAAAAAGGTCATCTCAAAATGAATTCTTGGCATTTACCTGTTTCTTTGTAAATCCTTTCAGAAATTAAAGAGTAGGGATTGGGATCTTCTTTGGCTTCTAGTATGTTATCATTTCCTGATAATGTGACACTTGGAAGACTCATAAATGACAATGGGCTTCCAAGATCCTTCTTAATGCGACTTCAGTCATTTGATAGATTCAATTTGATTTCAGTCTTTGTTAATGGGACTTCAATGTCTAGGTTTGCGCATAAATGATTGCTTTTATTATTGCTATCTTTGGAGGCTCTGGATGACATCATTTGTATAGGAAGGGAGTAAAAGAACTAGCTTGGTCTAATGGTGACAAGTGGGAGGCTTCACATAGTGTTTCTTTATACTCTGTTCCATTTACTTAAGAAATCTGGCTCTTTTTTTTTTTTCTTCTGAGATTTCTTAGGTATATCTCTTTTGGTTCTTTGCCTGTAGTCAATTTGTGACATTTTGAAACCTCTGTTAATTCTTATTGTGTGTGTTTCTCGTTTGTAGTTTGTGGTGATCCCTTGGTCTATTCATTTTGTTTTTTTCTTTTTTTTAAAAGCCCAAGGTTAGAACCATTGAACAGATATCTTATTTCTATTGAATTGTGGCAAAATGGAATTAAATTGATCAAAATGTGAGTACTCTGTGTGTGTGTGCGTGCGCACAGACATGGGCATGTGCGCACTTGTATGCATGTGTGAAAAATTCTAATTCATCTGACATTTGTGTCAGAACTTGTCTTATTGGTTTCTACAGAAATGGGCACAATTAAGCAACATCGGATGCCTAAAGTGACCAAGGAAAAATGACTATTTTACCCCTCTATTTTTTCTCTCCCTTTGTTTGATGGGCCCCAATCCTCTCTCCCTCTAGGCTCTGTTCTCTCTCTCTATCGTTGATTTACTTCTCTATCTCTTCAAGTTTCTTAGGCCACTAAAGAAGCTGTCATGTCTGGAGAACATTTAAGGAGAAGAGGGTTTAGAAGTTAGGGAGAGAAGGTTCTGGAAGTATCTTCTCTGTTATGGCCAGTTGGATAAGGGTGATGGGGATTTGGATCCAGTGTACGTAACTTCAGCTTAGCTTGTCACTGGAGTTGTGGCCGTTTTGGTTTCCTCATTGTCTGTGGCTTCTTGGGTTCACCGTCCCCCCCTCCCAATCTCTCTCTCTCTCTCTCTCTATATATATATATATATATATATATTTATATTTTGCTTGATAGGTCCTGCCCCTGGTTTATATACTAAAATGAGTGGGAGTGCACATGATTTCTGTTACCGAAATCGGATATGTGCCTAATTTTGGGAAACTATGTGCCGGTGATTTTCTAGAATACAAAAGGAAAAAATACCAGTTTGATTGAACAGTGGGAGAACAAGTTTTCTGGATCCAATTCCTTTGTTATGCCAAATCCAATTTCTGATCATCTCCTAATCTTCCTAGATACAAATCGAGTAAGTTCTGGACCCAGACCATTTTGGTTAGAATTGGATGTGGTTAGATGAGATAGTGTTTCAGAAATTCATCTGGGAGGGAACCCTTAAGATAGATGGCTTGGGCTTTCTGATATGCAAAAAGTTGCAGCTGCTAAAGGTGAGACTCAAATTTTGGATTAAAAAGAAGTTCAATAGCATAACAAAGAAAGCCTTGCTATTTGGCAAAGATTGCAGAATGGGATGGCAGGAATAGAGTAGGGTCCTTCCAAAAGGGGAGAGAAAGCAATATGTTGAGAACAAAAATGGCTGGTGGAAGAATGTCTAATAAGACAAGATGAGATTTTTTGCATAAAAAATTGAGGGTAAAATGACTCAAAGAGGGTGATCATAATACTAAATTTTTTAATGGCTCTGCAACTTGCAGAAGGAGTGGGCATTAGCCTTGGAGATATTTAAATATTTGGAAGTGTGGTACCTAGCGATGGAAAAGCCTATAGTCGAATTTTTCAATGCTGGTAGACAAGGATCTAGAGGCCGAAAATGTCGATATAAGAACTACCATTTTAAACTTCCGACAAAAGCAAGGAATGTTTAGAGAGACCATTTGAAGAGGCAGAGATCAGGCAAGCTGTTTTTGGGATGTGTAGAGACTCATGGCATTTTGTCCAAGAGTTTTGGCATTTCATCAAGGAAGATTTGCTAGATATGTTTCGAGAACTTCCAGAATAGAGGATGCGTAAACAAGGCAATGAATGCTTCATTTATTGCCTTAGAGCCTAAAAACGAGGGGATCAAATATTTAACAATACTCAACCCATTAGTCCCCCTAGTAGCGTATATAATATTTTGGCAAATGTTTTTGCTCTCTGTTGAGGGAAGTACCCTGCTAGAAAATCTTTTTTTGCCAATCTTTTGTACAAAATTGTCTGATCTTAGATGGTGCATTAGTAGCCAATGAGGGCATAAGTTTATGTCACAGAGAAAAGAAAGGGGGATTATATGTAAATTGGATTTTGAAAAAGCTTATGACCATGGAGGCAGACCGTTTCTTGATGGGACAATGAGCCTTATGAGATTTGGTATGGTATTTCGTTTTTTGGGGGTGGTTGTGTGTGTTGGATTAGAGGGAGCCTTTTGATAGTGAATTTACTACTAAATGGATCTCAAAAGAGCTATTTTCGAGCTTTCAGTGGTTGAGAAAGGGGACCCCTTATCCCCTTTTTTGGAATAGTAGGGGAACCTGTTAATTGCATGGGAGAAGGGGTTCACAAATCAGGCCTACTCTCTGGATTGGAAACATCAAGTAGTTGTCGAGAAATTTCCTGTTTGCAATATGCAAATGGCACTTTGCTATTTTATGAGCCACCCCATTCAAAATTCGCAATTTGTGGTTGTTTTTATGGTGCTTTGAAGTGAACAACTTAATTGGGCTTCTGATCAAATTTGGACAGGTTGCAAGCCTTGGTGAAATTTATAGGGTATGGAGTTTATTGCATGGTGACCAAGTATATAGGCTTGCCACTATCTGTTGGAAAGCCCATGAAATCACAGTGGGACAGGGTAGTTGAGTAGAAATTGGCTTCCTAGGAATCGATATTCCTTTCTTTGGAAGGGCGCGGAACTTTGATAAAGTAGGTCCTATCAAAATTTCCATTTTATAATATGTCATTATTTCCAGTGCTAGCCTCAGTATTTCACAAGACTTAAAAAATTGATGAGATATTTCCTTTGGGGAGGATCCTCAGACAAAGAAGAAGATCTATCTACTGAAATGGGAAAAGTTGTCTTTGTGGAAGAGTGAGGGAGCTTTGGAATTCTAGAAATCAATGAATTGAACCACACCTTCCTGGGCAAATGGTGATGGAGCTATGTGGAGATCTCGGATCAAATGTGGAAGCATTTGTTTAAAATTGAAAATATGGTGTTGAGGAGTTCCGATTCATGATCAACCATCACACAATAGTGGTCAACCCTCAGTAGCCTGAAATTGGATCAAACCAAATTCGAATTCCTTTCAAGAGCATGATCAGATTCAATGTGGATGTTGGTAGTGAAATGCGATTATGGAAAGACACATCGGTAAGTCCTGACTCACTCGAGGAAAGATTTCTTCGTTTATATGCCTTGGTTATGAATCAACAGATTATGGTACATGTTGTAGATCACAAGGAATAAGATGTCGTTTGGACACCTAACTGTAGGCATACTCTCATGGATGAAGAAATGGAAGGATTAGTTAATTTTCTTGCTGAGTTGCAGGGCTTATTTTGTGTGCCGAAAAAGGAGATATGTTGATTTGGAGTCCTAGTAGAAAGTGATCTTTTTTGTCAAATCATTCCACCAATCTCTTTGATGGTCCCGAATAGAAAACTTGATCTCTTGGGAGATGTGGGGTGTAGCAGAATGTCCCAGAGTACAAGCTTTTTATTGTTGGTATCCTTGAATATGATCCAAGCTATAGATAATCTCAGGTGGAGAGGACTCGTTATTTCTAACATATGCATTCTATGTGAAGAGGAAGCTGAATCTGCATCATTTTTGCAGTGTATTGTATTGCAGCGAGGCGGCTATGAACTTTTCTGATGGTTTCTGGACCTCCTTTACTTTCAGTTGATGGTGTCAGAAGCAATTGAAGGCTTATCAGCATGGTAGTTACCCACTTACCCTTGGAGTTACTAAAAAAGGGCCTTACCCTTTGGAGGTTGACAATATTGTCATTATTGTGGTGTAGTGTATGGAGTGAAAGGAATAGCTTGAGTTTTAACCATAAATGCATGAGGAGGAATCGGGGAAAGACAAAAGTGATGGCTATGACCATTGCATGAGCAAAGCAAAGATGGGTTTCCTGGAATGCTCGATGGTTGACATTGGGAATAAATGGCTGGATATAGTAGGCAAGGTGTGTAGACAGATTAGAGTAGTGAGGTTGGAATATCTTTTTCCACAGAAAGCTTTGTTAAGCTGAACTTTGGTGGTGCTTCATTTTGAAATCCACATTTCACTG